AACAGAATACAACAACAAAATCCAAGAACTAGTCAACGATGGCAGCTATACAAAAATAAAAAGAGACCCCACCAACAGCCTCGTCTCTAAAACCAAGCAAATCATTTCTGATTCAATCGCATTAATTGATCAGACCAAACAGTTCTCGTTGAAACCTTCTGCAGCCAGGCCACCAAGATTATACGGCTTGCCAAAGATACATAAAGAAGATACACCTCTTCGTCCCATTGTCTCTACTATCAACTCCCCCACCTATAAATTGGCTCGTTTTTTGTCTGAAATCCTACGGCCTTTCACTGGAAAAAGCACCTCTGCGGTACTAAACTCTACTGACCTGGTATCGACAATCAAGGGGATTGCCCTGTCCCCAGACGACCTGCTTGTCAGTTTTGATGTGGTTTCCTTATTCACCAAAGTTCCTGTACCTGACACCATCGCAATCATTGAAGACTTGGTTCATCAAGGACTGAATGCTGGGGTACCCCCCCTGGTGAGACACTGCTTAACCAATACATACTTCGCCTGGAATGGAACTTTCTACAAGCAAACTGAGGGCACCCCAATGGGCTCCCCCCTATCTCCGGTTGTAGCCAACATCTTCATGGAGAAATTTGAGACTGACGCCATCCAGACTGGCACTCTAAGCCCGACCTTATGGAAGAGGTACGTAGACGACACCTTTGTCATCTGGCCACATGGCCGGCCTGCTCTAGAGCAATTTCTCGACCATATCAATTCCATACACCCAGCCATCAGATTCACCATGGAAGTCGAAAAAGATGGCAAGCTACCCTTTTTGGATGTCCTAATTAAAAGGAGACCAGATGGTTCAATGAGCTACTCTGTCTACAGGAAAGCCACCCATATGGATGCTTACCTAAAACCGGATTCCCACCACCATCCATGCCAGAAGAATTCCCTCATCAAGACTCTATACCATAGAGCCCAATGCATTTCCGACCAGGAACACATTGCCAGTGAACTAAAACACGTACGCCAAGCTCTTAAGGCTAATGGTTACTCCGACTACACAATCCGCAAGGCCATCACTCCAACCATCAAGAAGGATCCTGTTGAGGAGCCTTTCAAGACCATCACCTTACCCTACATTGCTGGGGTCACAAAAAAGATCTCCAAAATCCTGATTAAACACAAGATCCAGGTCCGATTCAACACAGTACATAAAATCCGTGATCTGGTCCCGTCTGTAAAAGATGTGGTTCCAGACATACAGTACCCTGGCGTCTACAAACTAAGTTGCCTCTGTGGTAGCAGTTACATTGGAGAAACCAAACGACATGTCTCGGACCGCATCCGTGAACATAAAGCAGACCTGAAAAACGGTAGGACAAACACCTCAGCCGTGGCAGATCACTGTTACAATTCAGTGGGCTCACATGACATTGACTTCTCCAAGACAGAGGTTCTCTGCAAGCCATCTGGCTATCATGAGATATTCGTTCATGAGGCGATCCACATATACAAACACAGAGACAATTTCAACCGAGAAGATGGATTCTGGCTTAGCAATCATTGGAAGGACGTAATAAACCATTTCGAATCTTAACTGATTGTGTTCACGTTTACGGTGACTCTCAGACCGCGTTCCACTCACTGGCATTGCATTCTCCGCAGGGAATGGATTCTTTGCTCTGCTACTCTCCCATTCTCATATTTCGTTGCTGCCTCTTAGTATCTTTCACACGACGGTCAATGGTACAGTGTATAATAACAAATAGTATAACATTTATATGCTTAATACAATGTACAAAGTAATATATAGTATCGTAATTGTATAGTGAATATATAGCAGTGTGATATACATTAGGGTGGGTAGAATAATACATAGTGTAATATAACAATGTATAGTCGAAGGTATAGGGTGGTGTATAGTAATACAGTATATAATTTAATGTTGGGTTTGTCTATGGCAGCATATAGTACGGGGAAGACCTGTTTGATGTAAGGGAAAAAAGTTTAGCTGGAAGCATATTATATTTTTTGCGACATAGAATTGTAATGTATTACTTACTGTTAGTAGCTCAACTTATTGGAGAGTATATTTAGTATACTGATAATACTATTAAGTTTATACTTTAGTCTTTTACGTGGTTGTTTGGTTGCTGCAGCTGCATACTATTCACATTCCTTCCCTTTGTTGGTGATGCCCCTGCCCCTGCCCCCTCCCTTTGATGCTGCTAATTCTGCATAATGCATGGGCATAATATGACTTTGAAAACCCCCCGCCCACCTCCCACGCATTTCACAATTAGCACTATTCGCATTCCTGCATTTCCCATAAATATGCTAAATTCCTCTTCAAATGCAAATTATTTTGTCAAGGCTCTCTTCCTCCTCCCTCACAGCTTAAATAGACACTCCAAGCCTAAGACGTGTCATTTAGACTCTATCTTATGGACAGACATGTTCTTCACCTGAGGACAGCTGCTTGCGTTGTGGCAGAAACGTCGTGAGAATTATTTTATTATGTTTTATTTTTATTATTTTATTACTTCCCTTCTACGTGACTTTACCGAAAGAACCAAGAAGATGAATCCCTGCAGTCACGAAAGCTTTAAATCGAAACTGCTATACACTGTACCATTGACCGTCGCGTGAAAGATACTAAGAGGAAGCAACGAAATATGTCACTCTCCCATTGCTGGGGTCACAAAAAAGATCTCCAAAATCTTGATTAAACACAAGATCCAGGTCCGATTCAACACAGTATATAACATCCGTGATCTGGTCCCATCTGTAAAAGATGTGGTTCCAGACATACCCTGGCAGTCTACAAACTAAGTTTCCTCTGTGGTAGCAGTTACATTGGAAAAACCAAACGACATGTCTCGGACCGCAAACGTGAACATAAAGCAGACCTGAAACACGGTAAGACAAACACCTCAGCCGTGGCAGATCACTGTTACAATTCAGTGGGCTCACATGACATTGACTTCTCCAAGACAGAGGTTCTCTGCAAGCCATCTGGCTACCATGAGAGATTCGTTCATGAGGCGATCCACATATACATATACAAACACAGAGACAATTTCAACCTAGAAGATGGATTCTGGCTCAGCAATCATTGGAAGAACGTAATAAACCATTTCGGATCTTAACTGATTGTGTTCACGTTTACGGTGACTTTCAGACCGCAGTGCACTAACTGGCATTGACTATATATCTTGTATTCTCCGCAGGGAATGGATTCTTTCCTTCGCTGCAAGTCTCCTACCACCACTCTCCCATTGACATATTTCGTTGCTTCCTCTTAGTATCTTTCACGCGACGGTCAATGGTATAGTGTATAGCAGATTGTATAATAATAAAAAGTATAAAATTGTAATGTTTAATACAATGTATAAGGTAATATATAGTATCGTAATTGTATAGTGAATATACAGCAGTGTGATATACAGTAGGGTGGGTAGAATAATACATAGTGTTATATTACAATGTATAGTCGAAGGTATAGGGTGGTGTATAGTAATACAGTATATAATTTAATGTTGGGTCTGTCTATGGCAGTATATAGTACGGTGTAGACTCGTGTGATGTAAGAGAATAAATTTTAGCTGGAAGCATATTATATTTTTTGCGACATAGAATTGTAATGTATTACTTACTGTTAGTAGCTCAGCTTATTGGAGAGTATATTTAGTATACTTATGATACTACGTAGTTTATACTTTAGTTGTTTACGTGGTGGTTTAGTTACTGCAGCTACATACTATTAACATTCCTTCCCTTTATCAATGTTACCCCTATCCCCTCCCTTTGATGCTGCTAATCCTGCATAATGCACGGGCATAATGACTTTAAACCCCCCGCCAAACCTCCTACGCATTTCACAAGTAGTACTAAACGCATATCTGCATTTCCCATAAATATGCTAAATTCATCTTGATATGCAAATTATTTTGTCAAGGCGCTCTTTCCCCCCTCCATCCCAGCTTAAATAGTCGCTCCAGGCCTGGGGTGTGTCATTAAGACTCTGTCTTCTCGACAGACCTGTTCTCCACCTGAGGGCGGCTGCTTGCGTTTTGGCCGAAACGTCGTGAGAATTATTTTGTTTTGTTTTATTTTTATTATTTTATTATTTCCATTCTACGTGACTTTACCTGAAGAAAAAGTGGTTGTCTTATGGGCTGGGTCACCCATGATATGGGAATGTGGAATTTCACCACTGGCGCAGGGATATAAAAAGAATAGCACTTCCTCACTGTTTATTTGATTAGGAAACCATACAGACTCTGAATATTCTACACCGTAAACAATGATATCTGTGAGCAATTTTCCATTGCAACACACATTTTGTCATGGCAGTGTTAACACATCATTAAAAATACAATCGCCAATAACTGCTAGAATAATACTGCACTTACAATGTTCTACGATAATGACTACAATTATTACAATATATAATCATATGTCATGATCTATCTGCTCAAGGTGAGTCTCCCCAACTCACTTCCATCCCTCATTCTCGTGATGCTAAAAAAGCCAACCTGTTCTTGCATTGCTCCATATTCGTGGTGGCCACTCTGCACATGTAGAAACCTTCCTTTAGCTGCCACTCCATCATCAGTCTCGACCATCAGTCATTGTCTCTTATAGAATGTGTTTTTTCCCAGCTCACATGTAAGGGCCTCCCCTTAAGACTCTATTTCACCTCAAGGAAATACCGTTTGCAGTGAGCAGTGATGCAGTTATGGCAGTTGGATCTATTTATTCTAAGACTTTCTGGGTTTGACCCAGACAGCCCGAGCCCTCCAGCAGTGGATAGATCATGGCAGATGACCTGGGCAGTCCAGGCATCTGCGTTGGGGTGGCAGGAATTGATTTGTACTAAGATCTGGTGGTATTGTAGCAGAATTAATTACAGCTAAACTACAACGTTGTGATAGATCTAGGCTGACTGAGACAAATGTCCAGACGTGGTCTGTATAATAGGTGGCAACCCTCCAAATAACCATTGATATTTCAGGTTCGATACTTACCAACCACAACATTCCAGGGTTTCAATGGAACGCAGTGAGCAGCAGTCAAAATCCATTCCAAGTTGAGGATTGTCCCTCCGCAATATAAATTGTTCTCCAACTTTACCAGGGCCTGAAAACGAGATAAAACAATGTTTCTTACACGCCTTAGACATTGGGGTGCTCTCATATGGAAGTATAGAGGTTCCAGTATGACACAAATTCGTCCTGCAGCCCATGTGAACTATCGTTTTCCCTCTGCAGAAACATCATAACACTGTTCTGACAAGTGCCAGTTTACATGTTTGGTATTCTGAGTTGTCCTGGGATGGCGTACCGTTGTGTACCGGCACATTTACACCACAGCTTGTACTATAATGAGGTGGCATCACGAAATGTAAGATTGCCTTTCACCCGATGTGTATTATTTATAGTGATTGGTGGACAGTCACATTTTTTACCTCGATCGAAAGGCATGGGGTCATACATGGGTCAGATTTAACCCCTTAAGTATCTTGATTTGAAGCTGAATATTCAGTCACATCATAGCCTCACTGGATGCTAGATGAATCAAGTAGTCACGTAAAGTGTTGCAACTGAACACAATGACAGACAACTGACATTCCGTGAAGTGTAATTCCACGTGCCCTACATATACTGGAATCTTTGAGCGTGAGTAACTCACGTGTTATATAAAGCCGATGCCATACCTGCCAGGGGCAGTCACCACGAGGACAGTCCATTCCACCGGCAATGCTTTTGACATCTTCCCTCTGTTCTTTGATTGAGGAAGTGTTGTGAGGCTGTGTTTTTAAATTCTCATCCGAGTGGCTGGTGGAAAATTCATCCCGACGATTTTCTTCTCTCTTCGCCCGTATTTCCTCCGGGTGCAGCCGCCCACATGGAAACGCCTCTGCATCAAGTCACATGTCATGCATTGGGAAAGTATTTGTGGTGCATCATCACCTGCTGTAAGCATACTGTTGTTTAATGGCTAACATTATACATAGAGTTTTGTATTGGCACTTCTTTTCGATTGCAACACAAGCGGTCGTCCTCAGGCGGAAAAAATAATCCAGCAGTAGAACTGCTGAGTCAGGAAGAACACAGCGAGAGAGCTGTTACAACAAGAGGTTATATATGTGGCAAAGGGCAAGCAGGCCGGGTCTGAGCTGGAAAGGAATTCCATCCCCGCACACAAGCACTTCAGTTGTGTTAATGGGGGCGATTAGGGAGAGATTATGGAGAGAGATTAGCATGAAATGAGCTTCCGTCGCCGCATAAGATTATCGACCCCGCATATGCGTACAACAGCAGTGTTAATGGGAGATTAGCACTATGTTGATGGGAGAGATTAGGCAGAGAGATTAGGGGGATTAGAAAGTTCATGTCATGTCTATGTGTAACACAAGCTGCGGTGCTGCCAACTGCGCTGTGAGAGGCAAGCGCGTCAACGCAAGACAACCACCACAACGTTGGTCGCACCAGTGAGACACGCAAGCCCAGAACACAGTCAGAACCATAGATACATCGAGGCTAAGGGAGCAGAGGTGGCCATGTTAGTGAGACCCAAGCCTGTTAATGCAGAGGCACCCAATAGGGCAATGCAACTCAGAGAGTTGGAGTTGACAGCCAAACGGCAGGGAAGAATGGAAGCACCACAGCAAGTTACGACTTTGCTTGGTAAATAACGTCCTTCCAATGATTGCTCAGCTTATACCCATCTTCTTGGTTGAAATTGTCTCCGTGTTTATATATCTGGGTGGCTTCATGCACTAGTCTTTGTTGGTAGCCTGAAGTTTTGCAAAGTACCTTGGTCTTGTACAAAACAATATAGTGCGAGCCCAATGTGTTATACTGTAACAATTATCAGCCACAGCAGAGGTATTGGTTCTGCTGTGTTTCAAATCTGCCTTGTGTTTGCGAACACGGTCCGAGACATTTCGTTTATTTTCCCAAATGTAACTGCTGCCACAGACACAACTTAGTTTGTAGACACTAGGGTATTGCATGTCAGGAATGACATCCTTCACGGATGGGATAAAATCACGGATTTTGTGTACTGTATTGAATCGGATCTGGATCTTGTGTTTGTTTAAGATTTTGGAAATATTTTGGTAACACCTGCTATGTATGGCAAGGTGATGATTTTGATTGCGTCCTCAGATGGTTGTCTCCCCATGGTTGGGGATACAGCTTTGCGGATTGTGCAGTCTGAGTATCCGCTCATCATGAGGGCTTGGTGTACGTTCTCCAGTTGATTGGCTAGGTGGCGCTGGTCGGAGATGCAGTGGGCCCTATGGTGTAGTGTTTTAATAAGGAAATTCTGTGCCGGATGGTGGTGGGAATCAGGTTTTAGATAGGAATCTGTGTGGGTGGATTTCCTGTAGACAGAGTGTCCCAACGAGCCGTTAGGTCTCTTCTCAAACAAAACATCCAGGAAAGGTAGCTTACCATCCTTCTCCACTTCCATGGTGAATTTTATGAATGGGTGTATGGAATTGATGTATTTTAAAAATTGGTTCAGTGCTGGCTGGCCATGTGGCCAGATGACGAAAGTGTCATCTATGTATTTCTTCCACAGGGAAGGACGTAGGGTGGATGTCAGGATGGCATCTGTATCACATTTATCCATGAAAACATTCGCTACCACTGGTGATAAGGGAGAACCCATAGGGGTACCTTCATTTTGTTTGTAGAATGTATCATACCAGATGAAGTAAGTGTTGGGCAGTGCCTCACCAAAGTTGGTATATCAGGATTCAGTCCTGTTGGACCAAGTCTTCAATGATTGTTATGGTGTCAGGTACAGGTACCTTGGTGAACAGAGAAACTACATCAAAGCTGACAAGCAAATAATCTGGAGACAGTGAAATGTCCTTGATTAATGAAACCTAGTGAGCTGAGTTAAGTACTGCTGAGGTGGTCTTGCCCGTGAATGGAAGCAGGGTCTCAGACAGAAATTGGGCCAGTTTGTAGGTAGGCGAGTTAATGGTGGAAGCGATAGGACGGAGTGGAGTACCTTTTTTTATGGGTTTTTGTAAGGCCATAAAATTCTGGGTGATCTAGCAGCCGAAGGTTTTAGAGAGAGCTGCTTGGTCGGTTCGATTAGAGAAGTCGAATTAGTGATGATATTGTTGTTTTTTTGTAGCCAGGCGGTTGGAAGGATCTTTGTTGATTTTGGTTTAACTGCCATCATTAAGAAGGTCCTGGATTTTGTTGTTTAATGTGGTTTTATCTATGACTGTGGCATTGCCCTTGTCGGCTGAAAGGATGGCAATGTCATCTCTCTTTTTCAATTGAGCGAGTTCAGAGCGCTCGTCCCTGCTGATGTTAATAATGGGTTTCTTAGCGTTTTTGAGGATGGCGGCGATTTCAGATCTTGCCACGTCTGCTGGGATGTGACCCAAACCTTTGAGGGCTACGTCAATCTGGGCAATGATATCATTCACTGGGATGTGTTTGGGGATGACTGAAAAATTCAGCCCTCCAGCTAGTACCGATTTTAGGCTGCTGGATTATTTTTTCTGCCTGAGGACGACCGCTTGTGTTGCGATCGAAACGTCGTAATATGTTATTTTTAATTTAATTTTATTTTTCTACCTACGTGACTTTACCGAAAAAACCAAAGAGTATGGAATCCTGCAGTCACGAAAGCTTCAAATCAAGATTGGCACTTCTGTTTTCAATATTTTGTACCTAAAGTTCTCAAAAGCCTGCAGGTAATCCAGTAAATTTAACATCGCATGTGTAGTGACTGTGATTGTCACTGTGTGGTGCTGGGCTTACGAAGCCACGGCGGATAATGTGGTGGCATTGTGTAGCCCACTTATTGGGCGTAGTACCAGCCCTAACGGGGTTTGGGTGAGCCCTGGTCAGCGCGGAGGCACCACGTACAGTGTGCGGTGCGGGCTCCCGGTCAGGGAGCGAGAGGGAGTGTCAACCAGCCAGATATCATCCACATCCCAATGGATGATATCATTGCCCACCGGTGGACGGGGGCTGCTGGGCGGTCACGTGGTATAAAAGAGCTCTCGGGGAGCCTTCAGGAAAGAGCTCGAGAGATCTAGAAGGTGGGCGGGGCGAGGGGCGGAGGCAGCCCCAGCCCAGGCTGATATAACGGGTGCCCTGTGAGGGGCTCAGGGTTCTTCGTGTTGCTGGTGATGAAGATCCACTTCGGGTAAAAAAAGCCTCTAGACACGTGGTTCGGGACCCAGCTTGTGGTCCGGGCCGGGATAACGAACCGTGTCTAGTTCTGTCGTAGCATGGCTAGATGAGCATTCAACACCAACGTGTAGGTTGTGTTATGTTATGTTGAGTTACTGAATAAATAGTGTTGCTCCCAAGGCAACGTCTGTGATTCAGTTGGACTCACTACATATGTACACAAGCCTTGTGCAGACAACCAACTCAAAATAAGTGCATATGTGGCAATTTTTTGCATTTTACACCATCAACTTAAAGAGCTAAGAACATATGACTACAACAACAGTCAGCGGCGAGTAAGGCAATGCCGAGAGATTTGTACATGCAATGTCCACATTTGCATGTTGTCACATCTATTTGTTTTCTGGCCTGTGCTATATTTTTCTGTCGTGGGGATTTCTTGCCATTTAAAAATGTGAGGTTATACAGCAGGGGTCCTCAAACTTTTTAAACAGGGGGCCAGTTCACTTTCCCTCAGACCTTTGGAGGGCCGGACTATAGTAAAAAAAAAACTATGAACAAATTCCTATGCACACTGCATATATCTTATTTTGAAGTGAAGAAACAAAACGGGAACAAATACAATATTTAAAATGAAGAACAAGTAAAGTTAAATCAACAAACTTGCCAGTATTTCAATGGGAACTATGGGCCTGCTTTTGGCTAATGAGATGGTCAATGTCCGGTTCCATATTTGTCACTGCTAGTCGTAACAAGTGATGCAAGTGTGCATCCGTTAGTCTAGATCTGGTTGGAGATTTCAAATGTTTCATTCTGGAAAAAGTCTGTTCACAGACATAAGTGCTGCCAAAGATGGTTGCCATTTTGAGTGCATGGTTCCTGAGATGAGGATATGTCTCAGAGGGGAGAGATGCATAGAAATTATGAAGGCTGCTTGACTTGAATGCGTCTTTCAGAGAGTCACAATTCTGCAGTTCAGCCAGTTCCATTTGGTAAATTGTATCCACATTTTCAATGTCAATAGAAAATAGGTTATGGAAAAGCTGTATGTCCTGTTCATGGAGATGAAGCTCTTTAAATCTAAATTGGAACTCCTTTTGCAATTTTTCCAGTGAATCCACACATGTTTTGTTTGGGAATGCAACCAATGGTTTTTCCGCTAACATATTTTGAGTTGTGGGGAGATGGCAGAAGTTTTCCTCCTTCACTTGTTTGATGAGGAGGCCTAATTTTACTTCAAATGCTTTGACATGTGATTGCATATCACAGATGAGCTTCCCCTTCCCTTGAAGTTGCACATTGAAACTGTTGAGTAGCTCTGTTAAATCTGTCAGAAAGGCAAGGTGCCATTTCCATTCTGCATCATTGAGCTCTGGTACTTCTTTGTTTTTTGAAAGCAGAAAAGCTGTAATCTGTGGAAGTAAGTCATAGAAACGTTTCAAAACTCTCCCTCGACTCAGCCAACGGACTTCTGTGTGGTACAGAACATCTGCATAGTCAACATTTAGCTCAGACAGAAATTCCTGAAATTGTCTGTGGTTTAGTGCATGAGCTCTAATGAAGTTAACGCAAGATACCACAATTTTCATAACAGAGTTCCACTTCAGTGATTTACTATACAGCGCTTGTTGGTGGATGAGGCAGTGTATGGCTATTGGATGAGAATGGTTATGTTTGTCCATCTCTTGGTTAATGCGAGCAATTACTCCTTTCTTAGACCCCACCATGCTAGGAGCACCATCAGTT